GGGAACAGCGCTGGGGAATTGGGGGAAGGGGAACAGACAAGTTGCTGTCCTTTTGTTCTTCAGTCTAGTTGTTGAGGATGTTGCTTCACTGGCCCAAGTTGGCACCATCATTGCACTCTCCTGGGAGAGGCAGATCAGTCACCGGCTTCTGGACGGCTGCTCACGGCGGCTGCTGCCTACACACGGTAGCCCATGGCAGCCCACTGCCGCAGGGCCTGCAGCCTATGCCATCCCCCGGCGACTCATGGCAGCGCAGCTCCAGGTTGAGCTGTTGTTCAGCATCTTAGCTGTAGTGGGCAGTGTCACTGGCCCTCATATGTGGTATCGGAACTGGGGCCCGATAAGCCAGCTCTTAACCAACGCACCTCTCAGCCGGCCCAGTCTGATTTTTTTCATATTAGACTGGGGTTATGGTTTTGGGGAGGAAGACCACAGAGATGAAGTACCTTTCTCATCACATCAAGGGTACATACTATTAACACGACTTGTCACCATTGATGTTGACCTGGGTCACCTGACTGAGGTGCATTTATCAGGTTTTTCCACTGTAAAGTGACTCTTTTCCCCCTGCCCCCCTGTCCATACTGTCCTGTTTGGAAGGAAGTCACTATGCAGCCCACGCTTGAGTGGGGAGCTGTGCTGTGCCTCCCCGAAGATGAAATATGTACAGCAATTATTCTGCACAGGAGAGTGATCTCGTCGCGTCCATTTAGTTACTTAATCATTTATATCAGTAAGGACTCGTGGATATTTACTTAATTCTTAGGACAAGTCATTCAATGCTACTTTATTTTGTTGCTCACATTGCTCCAGCTCTGGCCACTGGGAGCTCTTTCGGTTGGCCCCCGTGTCCCTTTGGCTCACCGCCGTCAGTGTGTGTGTGTGTGGGGGGGGGCGGTGTGTGGGTGTGGGGGTGTTGAGCACTTCCATACTTTCTGACACTATAAGATGCCCCTGGCTCATCCTTTATATTTCTTGCTGCAGCCCTAGAATCTGCCATTTCTTCAAAGAGCCCTGGTTCCTTTCCTGGAGAAACCGAAATCACATGTGCTCATAGCTCCTGGGATGTCCTTGCCTCTAGGTGCCCTCAGCTGACAAAGCTCGGAGATACATGTGTGTATATGAACCCGTGTTGCACACCTATATTTCTGCACGTAACTCTTTCTATCTGTGGTAGGCTAAACCTAAGTTTATACTGATGATCCCAACCCTAATGCATTACCACATGGAACATTCTAGCCTCTGCCCCTTGCTTATCGCTAATCTCCCTCCAACCGTGAGACACTTGGCTCTCACCATCTGCTCTTTATTTACTTAACTCTTCAATTCCAGTGTATGTGTAGAGGGGTCCTAGAATTGTTACCTCGTGTGCCCACAGGAAGCAACGTTATCAACCAGAGTCCAGTCCTTCGGCCTTTCTGAAGCCTGACAGCCTCTGCTCGTTTTCGAAGTTACTTACGCCGGCACCTTCTTCTCCCACAGCCTTCAGTGAGGTGGTCCATACAGTTCAAATATGACTGGGTTCTTGTGTCACATTCTGCATTCTGCCCTCAGATCCCTGACTCCTAAATGGTTTTCTTTTTAGTTCTGTATACGTTGAGGTTCACTCTGTGATAGAAAGTTCTATGAGTTTTGACAAATCCCGATGCTTTACATTCACGATTACAGTTTCATACACAATCATTTTTCCTCCTCCTTCAAAACCCCTTGTGCTTTGCTTGTTCAGCCCCTATCCCCAGCCCCAGCACCCTGGCAACTGCTGTTGTGTTTATAGCCTCGCTAGCTTAGCCTCTCCCAGTGTTATATAAATGGGACCATACAGTATGGAGTGGTTTCAGTTTGGCTTCTTTCACTTAGAACTATGCATTTGTGATTCATCCATATCTTTTTGTGACTTGTGAGCTCATTTCTTTTTATCTCAGAATAATATTCCATTGTATGGATGGAGCACACTTTATTTATCCATTCACCTGTTGACACTTGTCTGCTTCTAGTTTTAGGTGATTATAAATAAGGCTGTGATAAACATTCACACGCTGGCTTTCGTGTGGACATGTTTTAAATCCAGTTACGTAAGCACTTAGGAGCCCAACTAGTGGATCGTATGGTAAGAATATGTTTAGTTTTATAAGAAACTGCCAAACTGTTTTCCAAAGTGGCTGCACTATTTTGCATTCCCACCAGCAATGGATGAGAGTTCATTCATTCACAGTTTTCATATGTGAGGCTATGTCCTCACCAGCATTTGGTGTTGTCAGTGTCCTGGATTTTGGCCATTTGATTGGTGGGTAGTGGTATCTCATTGTTGTTTAATTTGCATTTCCCTAATGACAAAGGATGTTTAGCATCTTTTCATATCCTATTTGCCATCTGTATATCTTCTATGGTGAGGGGTCTGTTCAGATCTTTTGCCCATTTGTTAACTGGGTTATTTGTTTTCTATCTGTTCATTTTACAGTATTGTTTGTATGTTTTGAATACAAGTCCTTTATCAGATATGTGTTTTGCAGATATTTTCTCCCAGTCTGTGGTTTATCTTTTCATTCTTTTAACAGTGTCTTTCACTGTTAAAAATTTTTAATTTTAATAAAGATTAACCTATAACTTTTCTCATTCATGGATTGTACTATTGGTATTGTATTTAAAAACTCATCACGAAGTCCAAGGTCATGTAGATTTTTCTTCTATGTGTTTTTCAAGAAGTTTTGTTGTTTTGCATTTTACATTTAAGTCTATGATCCATTTTGAGTTAGTTTTGTGTCAAGTCCGTGTCTAGGTTCATTCATGTTTTTGCATGTGGATGTCACGTGGTTCTAGCACCACGTACTTACGAGGCTACCCTTTCCCCACTCAACTGCCTTTGCTCTGTTGTCAAACATCAGTTGACTATTTGGGTCTATTTCTGGGCTTTCTGTTCTGTCCCATTGATCTATGTGTCTGTGCTTTCACCTATGACACATTGACCTGAAGTATGTCCTGGAGCCTGGTCATAGGACTCCTCCAAATTTGCTTTTCTCTGGAATTGTGGTGTGTGGGCTCTGGATCGGTCAGTTTGCATATGTGAGGCTATGTGCCAGGCTAGGCATTTAGTGCCTCTAGAAACTGGGTAGCCCTGGGAGGGGCCGTCTCTGCCGGGTCAGCAAGGCCCCAAGATGTCATAGCATCCAAATAGCAGAAAGTCAAGAGGCACAAGTAACACACCACATAGGTGTGTAATCAGCACCTCTGGTTTTCTGGCTGCACACCACTGCAGCGCACTGAGCGCCACGAGACGGCTGTCTGTTCTCCTGCGGCTGAAGGTCGGGGCTGTGTCTAGGATTGGGCCCTGACCACTACAGTGGCCCCAAATATCCCTGCACATGTCTTTTGGCGGATATACCTATTTTCATTTCTTTGGGCGAAATCCCGGCATCCCAGGTAGACCCTATGTGGAGTTTTAGGAGCTATTGCTGCAGTTTCCTAAGTGGTTGACCCAAGTTTCAATCTCACTGACACCCCTGAGCCTTTTCAGTTTGCAGACTCATGTCTTTCTTCTGATCTGAAAGGATCCTCACTCACTGCTTAACAAGATTTATTTATTCTTTCATTTAGCAAATCGTTATCAAGGGCACTCCTTTGCCAGAAACTGGTGTAGGCGTTAGGGGTACCAGGCGTGACCTCTAGAGAACAAGACACTTTGGAGGAGGGGACAACCAAGTAAATAAATGCATGCTGCAAAAATTTATTTCGGATAAAGATAATCAGTTACACATAATTAAATTATAATTTCGGTGAAAGACCACGTCTATGAAGACAACAAGGCAGCGCCGGGGGATGGGGGGGGTGGGGGGGAATGTTGCCTCCCCTCCATCCTCTGTCTTGGAAATCCCATTAGACAAGCGTGGGATTCGGCCCTCCTGGTCTCTTTCCTTTCAGGTGCTTCCATTGCAATCGAGGGCTGTGGTTTTTTTAAAACAGGAAATTTGTGTCCATCTCTGCTTTATTTATTTGTTCACTTTATGGATGAAATAGCCTTTTGTGTTTCTTGGGAGTGGTTGTTCTCAGTCCTCAGCCCCACCCTGCTTCTCCTGGAGCTGCTTTCCGGTGGGAAGGTCTTCCCTTCTTTCAGAGAATGACCTCCCTCCAGGTGGGCTGACGCTGGATCGCAGGCAGGGGTGGGAGGGGCTGCAGGGGACGCATTCTGGGCCATTTCCTGCAAACCCCGACAGAAAGAGGCCTTTCTCAGGGGCCGCAAGCCCCCAGCTCCTCACACCAGAGCACCCTGACCGGACCCTTCAGAGAGTCTGCGAACCCCCACCCCGCCCAGGGGAAATGGGGGCGTGGAAGGGTGTGGAGCCCTCAAAGACCGGCTGGCCTCTTGGGGGTCCTCTCAGTTTCTACCTGCAAGAGTCCATTTCAGTGGTAGCTGTTTAACAATATATATATATATATATATATATATATATATATGTGTGTGTGTGTGTATACTCACTCTCGTATATTATAGCTTTTAAAACATAAACTTGATTTTTAAAATACACTTCATGATTTACACAAAAATTGTGAGGCTAGCTTTGAGAGTTCACATAGCCTCCACGCCCAGTTCCTTTTATTTTAATATAATAGTATGGTGCATTTGTTACAATTAATGAACCAAAGTTGACACACTATTATTAACTAAAATCCATCCTTTATTCAGAGTCCCTTGGTTTTCATCCGATGTCCCCATGTCCCCTTTCTGGCCCAGTATCCCACCTAGGACACCCCCTACAAAGGAGTATGGACTATGTATTTTCTTTCGTTGCTGGGATGGGGGGTGGGGGATGCTATTGCATGTGCTCCAGGAAAGCTCACCACCTTGAAGCCGAGTTTCTGTGGTCCAGGCTGACCTCAGGGCCTGGGGGTCACTTGGGAGTCGTGTGTCTTGACATTTTATTCTACTCCCAGGCCTCTCTCCAGCGTGTTCTTTGTCTCGTCCCCTCTTAGGCCTCAGTTTCCCCCTCTGGAAAACGAAGGCATTGGGCTAGTTTCTTCTGTACAGGCTGAGTCCTGAGGTAGAAGGATGAGTGAAGTTTTCTGAGCCTTTTCCTGGGGCAGAGGGAGCTGGCAGGCATCGGCATGTCCCAGCGCTGGGACCCAGATCTCACTGAACACCACGTGGGGGCCAATGCTCTGACCTTGGGCTTTTCAAGTAAAGGTCAGGGGCTGTCCTGCTTTGCTGCTTCTTGCTGTGCACCTTAGACAAGGCCCTCTTCAGTTCTGAGCCTCGGTTTCCCTATCTGGCCGGGCATAGAGCAGATTGCCCTGGGGAGCAGTGAGTTCGTGCAAGCAGGGCTGGGTGCTGCCAGGCTAGTGGCAGTGCTGGGCTCTGAGGGGCCTCCTGTGGGATGAGGGGTCCAGTCTCTGTGTCCGTCCTTTTTCCCACACTTGACTCAGGGGCAGGTGGCTGGCTGTCACAGGATGCCCACACACAGTTGTCCCCTCCCGCCCAGCTCATGCCAGTATTGCCTTTGCCCTGGGCCGAGGGAAGCTTGCCAAATGTACCACACCCCTGGACCGTGGACTTCCAGGAGATCGGAGGGAGGAAGCTCACCATTATTACCAGCCTGCCTTGTAGTTCTTTGGCTGCCAGTCCAGTCTGCTACCTAGGAAGCTCCCAGCACAGGCCAGGCTCTAGTCCTCAAGTACACCAGGCACCCCCTCCAAAGGAGCGAGAGAAACCCCGGAAAAGGTAAACATGAGGAGCCCTGTGCCACCACTCCCTAAAAGCCTGAACTCTCCATTCAGAAAATGTCAGGGTTCTTCCAAGCTTCTGAGCCTCTGCATCTGCTGTTTCTTCTACCACCAGTGCCCTCCCCGTTTTCTAGCTGTTTTGAACTCCTACTCATCCTTCAAGGCCCAATGCAAAAGTCCCCTCTACTGGACCCTCAGTACTCCTCCCACCTGCATCACAGCACACATCACCCTGAGTCACGATGGGCCTCTTACGTGCCTGTGTCCCTGTATTTCCCTGAAGGCAGGGGTGGGGCCAACACCACCGTGAGGTTGTCACAGACACGTCAGCTGCCTTCAGCGTTAATACAATAAAAGACGCTGGTAGAGGAAGAGAGAATTGTTGTAGTGAACCTTTCTTGAACACCTGCTTACTGGCACTGTTGCATCCATTATTCTCTATCCTGCGCCGGCCCCAGTGGACCCTGTCACCGGCCCGTCGGTGCGGCCCGGGCAGCAGGAACGCGAGAGGGTGTGGGCCACAGGGAGAACCGGCGCTCCGGCGAGCCAGGCAGGGAGGGCTGGCGAGCGCGCCTGGGCGTCCTTGCACAACCTGGAGGCCGGGGGCTCTCGCGTGTCGCACGCTCACAGTCCCGTTTTCCCGCAGAGGTAGTTGTGGTCCCGAGACCCGCAGCAGCCGCCGCCAGACCCGAGGTGGCACCGCCCCTGGCCTGGCGCTCCTGGGGCGCACCTGGCCCCGCCTCCGAGTCCCCGCCCCGGGGCCCCAAGCTTTCCCGCGCGGCGCGGGCCGGGCGACAGGTGCAGCGCAGCCGAGCCGAGCCCCGCACTCCGCTCCGCGCCGCGCTCGCTCCCGGCCCCACCATGGGCAACCGCGCGGGCCGCAGCGACTTCGAGTGGGTCTACACCGACCAGCCGCACACGCAGCGCCGCAAGGAGATGCTCGGTGAGCGCGGGCCCGGTGCCCGGCGGGCGGGAGGGTGGCGGCGCCACCGCGCTCCGCCGGCATGTCCGGCCCGGGGTCCCCGAGAGTTCCCCCAGCCCGGGCTGAACCCCCCCCCCTGCGTCTCTGCCTCCCTCTCGGGATCCAGGACCCGAGGACCCGAGCCCGGCCCCGTGCGCTGGGGAGCGCGTCTCAGCCGCTCGGTCCGGGGCAAGAATAGGGGTGAGCACTGGAGCTCCTGGGTCCCGCGACCTCCCAGGGGCCTCCAAGCCCACCCCAAACCCAGCGCAGAGAGAATGGGCGCCCCGAGGGAAGCCAACGCGGAACCAGAAATACAACTCGTAAAAGGCAAAGGTTGTACCAAAGAATGCCGCCCTCTGTCCTGGAGCTTACAGCTCCTTGCACGGTGGCCGCCACTCCCTGTCGTTTAGTATCACGCGAGGTCATTTTCACCCACATGGACGGGATCGCGACCTTCCATGCCAGCGACTTCCCCTGCACCCAGGGTTACGGGATAAAGGGCTCACACCTCCCAAACAGCTTTCACTTCAATAGATACCACCAAACCGCCCCGCCAGAGCCAGGTGGCTTCCAACTGGGTGGACACACTCCTGCCTCCCAGAACCGGTGGCCGCTTCCTCACACCCTCGCTCACACCGGGGGTTGACAAAGCTTTTCATCTTGCCAATCAGATGGACAGAGGCAACAGGCTCATTCATTGTGGGTGTAATTTACATTTACTTGATGATTGATTTCAGTGTTTAACTGACCATTCAAATTTCTTTTTTTCTCTTGGGTTGGCCTTTTGCTTTTATATAATTGTTAGAACTTTATACAAAAGCTTTTAAATCCTTTGTCTTCTATGTTGCAAGGAACTTCCTCCTTTACAATTTGTCTTTTGCTATCACAGAAACGTTTTTTTTTTTTAGTGGCGTTCGAATCGAGTGGCTTTTTCTTCAGGGTTTCCTCTTCCGTGTCTCTCTGACCCGCCGCAAGACTATGGAAATACGCATCCTAAAACTTGCAAGCCTTTCTGACACCAGATGCATTGAGTGGTTCGTGCCTGACTGTACCCTGCCCTGTAGCTGGGGGATGGGGATGGAGAGACCTGGGTGGTTTGTGACTTCGGTGGTCTTCTTCTGTGAGGTGAACAATAAGCCACACTTGTGGTCTCGCCAGTGGCAGCATCCTCCCCGACACCTGTGAATTTGCTGGGGGTGTCGGAGGTGGTCTTGGTGGTCACCTGGTCTTCCCTCCCATCAGAGGGCAGGTATCTTGGCTGCTGCCCCCTCAGTGGGTCCCAGGCAGGGCTGCATTTCCTTCCCTTCCCCTGGCTGTCCCCCACCTTCCCCTTTCCTGACTTACTGGGCACCTGGCCCCAGGTGAAGTCTGGGAGACATCGCAGCCCACAGAGCTGCCTGACAGGATCCAGACACTCTGGGCTGGAGCCTCACTCTCCCAGTCTGCAAAATGGGCCCAGTCATTTTTGTCTGGCAGAGTGGGTATGAGGATGAAAGGAGATCTTGGATGGCAAGGTGCTCAGTGTGGTACCCAGCACTCCAGGACATGGAGGAGGACCTCTCTCTTTTTTAAAAGATTTTTTATTGGGGAATTGGGGGAGGGGAACAAACAAGTTGCTGTTCTTTTGTTCTTCAGTCTAGTTGTGGAGGACGTCGCTTCACTGGCCCAAGTTGGCACCATCATTGCGCTCTTCCCGGGCGAGGCAGATCAGTCACCGGCCTCTGGACGGCCGCTCACTGCGGCTGCTGGCTACACACGGTAGCCCATGGCAACCCACTGCCACAGGGGCTGCAGCCTACGCCGTCACCGGCGACTCCCGGCAGCCCAGCTCCAGGTTGAGCTGTTGTTCAGTATCTTAGCTGTAGAGGGCAGTGTCACTGGCCCTCATATGTGGGAACCGAACCGGGGCCCTCTGGCGTCCCAAGCCAGCTCTTAACCAATGCGCCACTCTGCCGGCCCGAGGATCTCTCTAAAGAGAGAAGCCACATGATTTGAGCCAGGGTGGGGGCCACACAAGTTCTCAAGGAGTGACTCCCCAGGGAGCCTTGCTCATTCCTGTTTCCTCTGGGTGCCGTGGATTCTTACATGTGCATCCAGTTTTGAACTAATGAACTTGGAATGTGCCTCCCTCCCTGGCATTTGCACAAACTGTTCCCTCGCCTGAATGTCCTTCCTCCTTGTTCTGCCCGGTTGGCTCTCGCTCAGTCCCACCTCCTACAGGAAGCCCTCCTGGCTGCCCTCATGGGCCCTGGCTGGGCAAGGGCACTCCTCTGGGGTTCTCAGTAGCTGCAGCTCATCCGATTCTTACCTCTCTGGGGCAGGCTGGCAGGGGTCTAGGGTTTGGCTCCGGAGCTCCTGGCAAGGACATCAACACTCACTCATTAGCCGTGTGACCCCAGGCAAGTCAATAAACAGGTGAGGAAATCGAGGCTTGGTTGAGTTGAAAGGGGTTAATAGCAGTACTTTCCTTGCGGTGTTGTGCAGATCAAATGAGGGAGTGTGAAGTGTTGGCTCAGTGCTCAGTGAATGTATGACAGCCATTACCTCCAGCAGACAGGCCTGGGTTCTCTCCAAGGATAGGGAATGCCTTTCGGTCTCTGCTTTCCTGACACCTGTACCATTCCTGGCCCAAGAGAAATCCTTTGTATAACTGCCCACCAGCATCGCTTTACAAAAAGAGGCAGCAGAATGGGGTTCAGAGAGGAGAGGCGATTTGCCTAGGGCCGCTTAGCTTGGAGACCATCAGGGCCAGGCTGGTATTCATTGGACTCCTGCTCAAGGATGTGCTGTGGCCCCACCCAGGTGGCTGCTGCGCCCATGCCAAGCTGCTGGGGGCCAGTGGGTGCTCAATAAAGATCCTAATCTCGGAGCCAGGACCAGAAATCCTTGCACAGGACTGGCTGAGTGTTCTTTGGGCAGGACCAAAGTCCATCTGCAGCTCCTGCCTGGATGGGGGGGGCATGCTCCCCAGGAAACAGTGTCCTAAGAAAAGGGGGTCCCAAGGCAGCCCCTAAGAGCCGTGTGTCCCAGGTCAGGGCTGAAGCTTCTGTATTGCGAGGGCGGGGACAGCCAGCAAGTCTGGTCTCATGGAGACCAGCGTCTATGCCAGGTGTGGCCCTCCAGCACCAAGCAGGCTTTGGATTTGTCTTTTCATAAACAAATACCTTTGTGATTTTTTTTTGTTGGTTTCTGTTCTTATGAAAATAGGCACACACATGGTAAAAAAAAAATCAAATATTCAAAGGAAAACAAGGAAGTAAGACTCTTGGCAATTGGATTACTTGCTTAGGAAAGGCCCTGGCTGGGGCTTTCTCACCAGCAAGCAGTAAAATCCAGAAAAGAACTTGTAAAATCCAGAAGAGAACTGGCCGGTGCTCTCCTAGGAATCTGTGGACCCTTCTCATCCAGCCAGAGAGATGTGGCTCCAGGGGGAGAGCCGGCGGGCCACGGGGCATCCTCTCCGAGCCCCTCGCCCCTGCAGCAGTCTGTGTGAAGTCCCCACCCTCCTGTACCAGGTAGGCTGCGGGTAGTGCATGGCCTGTGTCCACCTGGCTATGAGATTCCACAGAAGGAGGGGTGCCTCCCTCCGCTCCTGCCCTGAGTAGCACAACCCCCCCTTGAGTCCTGTGGTTGGTCAGTAGGCAAGGGGCTGTGATGGGCATGCTAAGGGCAGTGAGACGCAGCTGAGATCTGAATGGGGGGCGGGGGGAGGCGGGGACAGATAGAGGGGTGCTGGGTACTCAGGCTCACAGCAGCACAGACAGTAGGTGATCACTGAGGGGTTCCTCCTGGACCCTGTTTGACTTAATTATCGTCCCCCTGCTCAAATCCTCCAAGGGCCTTCCTTGCTAAAACCCCTATTTCTGGCCTGGCCTCTTGGGCACGCCCGGTTCTGGCCCCTGCCCTTTCTTCTTGCTTTCTGCTCTCTAGCCACTATGTGGAATGTACCCCATCTGCCCATTTCCTACTTCATGGGTTTTGCAAATGCTGTTCCCTCTGCTTGAATTCTTTTCCCTTACTCTTCAGCTAGCAGACTCCTATGCATCCTTCAGGTCTCAGCCTGAATGTCCTTTGCCCAGAAACACTCTCTAACACATACACACACACTCTGCATGCTGGTAAACATTCAACAATTGAGTCTCTGGAGGGCACATAAAGCCCTGATTTGTAAATATTTCCATCACGGACAATTTAAAGCGACCCACATGTATCATCACTGAGCATGGAGTTGGGAAGAGAGCAAGGAACACATTGGGTGCTTGCTGGCTGGCCTGGGTGTGACCTGATGGCCCACACCACCGCCTACCTGCCCTTCTAAGCTCCTCCTCCTCCTCCCTGATCCTCTGCAGGGGGCTGGGCACTTTTACCTGGAGGCCTTTGCCCCACCTGTAATTCTGCCTTGATTTGTGGGGTGATTGCTTTAATGTTCTGACTCCCCCACTCATCTCTGAGCTTCCTGGAGGGCAGGGCCAGGCTCACCTGCACCGCAGCCGTTTCCTCGGGGTCGTGGCATGCCTGTGGCTTCCCGGAGAGGCTGAGTGAACCCATGAGGCAACAGGCACGACTGCAGCTCCAGCCCAGGGCCTCGCAGGAGCGCCGCTGGGCCGCTCTCCCTCCCGCAGGGCTGCACCGGCCACTCCAGCTCTTTGCCTGTGGCTTCACCCTTGCCACCTGGACAGTTGGGAGATGCCACCTTTTAGGGACCTTCTAGGTCTCTTTTAAGCTGATTAGTGGGGCTGAGTTTTTCTTCCTGGGTTTCACTGCTTTCTTCTGTGGCTTTTCTACTTGTGCCCTTCGATCCTTTTCCAGCAGAGTTGCCCTTTTTCTTGATTTGCGAGTTTTGTATCCATGGCTCATGGTAGCCCTGCCTTTGCCCCACAGGTAACCTCCCCACAGGTAACCTTTCCTGGTTTGTCCTTTGTTTTTCCACTTGGGTTCTTTTTTCTTCCCCGCCTTTCCCCCTTATGGATATTTACATGTTTTATGTACAGCAGGACCCTGGGAAGTTCTCACTTGCTCACAGTTACCCAGTGGGTTGGGGGTGGGGGCAGGACTAACCCAGCGCGGTGCGGCCGGAGCCTCTGCTCCCGTCTGTCCTCACGTCCTGACACATGACTCATGGCAGGTGCCGGCTCACATGCCCCTTCCAGCCTCCATATTGATGGGTGTGCTGTGCCCCCCACCTGGCCTCCCTTGTTCTTTACTTTGTACCAGCTTTTATGAGGTATGATTTACATACCATAAAATCCACTCATTTGAAAGGCACAGTCCAGTGATTTTTAGTAAATTTACATAATCCATTTTAGAGTATTTCCATCACCCAGAAAAGATCCCTTATGACCGCTCCACAGCCCAACGCCCACATCCCTATATCCAAGTCCTTTCTGCTTCGAGTTTTAGCTGGAATGTGAGGGGACTCTGTGTGTGTGGTGTCCTTCTCTTGACACGTTCAAGCTAGGACACACAGTCCGTGCCCCCACATGTGTGGCACTCCCCGCCCCTGCGGCTGCTGGCTACACACGGTAGCCCATGGCAACCCACTGCCACAGGGGCTGCAGCCTACGCCGTCACCGGCGACTCCCGGCAGCCCAGCTCNCCCGCCCCCCCAAGCCCGGGAACCTCTCCCACCTCTGTGATCTGGGGCCTGCCTGCCACGGACCTTCAGCAAATATTTGTCAATGAACAAACAGCAGGTTTAGCGAGAGGCAGGTGGGGAGGCAGAGAACAGTGACTCCTGAAGGCACTTTGGGCCACTTTCCACATTTTCTATGTCGAACCAGGTCCGCAAATACCAACCAGACAGGGTTAGGCTTGCCTTTTGGCTTCCAAACTGAAAAGGCGGGGGCGGGGGTGGGTAGAGATTGAGCTGTGAGAAGGCGGTTCAGGCCCAGCGCTGCACAGAAGCCGTTGAGGAAGGGGGGTTAGGAGGCTTTGGGTGCTCGTGTTAGGAGGAGGGGTTGTCGGAGGTAAAGTTACTCGCCTGTGGGTGCGCACAGGTGAGGGGAGGAACGCTGGGCTCCTGGTGCCCTACACCCGGCAGCTCGTGTGCGACAGGGCCAGCAGGAGCTGACGTAGGAGCTGGAATGTTTGAGACTCAGGGACGCTGAAGTGATGGAAGGCAATGACAAGGCCCCTCCCCCACGCCCAGCCAGCAAGACGGGCATGCGATGGCCTTTGGGGGCTGTTAGGAGCGTCCAGTCCTGGGTGGTGCCAGGCCTGGTGCAGGGAAGGGTCCAGGGTAGAAGGGGGAAGAAGACTCCACTGCCTCTGGGAGCCGTGCTGGAGACCAGGGGGAAGTGACTTCACGGCCAGCCTGTTGGCAGGGGCTGCGGGAGGCTCAGCAGCTGGGAGCAGAAGTGTCTGCTGTGGGGGTCACTGGCCACTCGTGGTCTGTCCTGAGGCTGTGTGGGGCCACTGCTCACTTGGTTGGAGCCCAGACAGCATGGCTGCCAGGTGAGGTGAAGGCTGGGTGGAAGGCTGGTGTGCAGACAGCTGGGTTCTGTTGGCTTCTTGGGCAGAGGTGGCCTGCAGTTCCACGATGTGGGAACCCCAACTTCCCCCAGCCTCTCCCAGCACACGAGGGCTGTCCTGCCATTCAGAGGGGACATTTGCTCCCATTCAATGAGGGAGTGTGAAGGGTTGGCTCAGTGCTCAGTGAATGTATGACAGCCATTACCTCCAGCAGACAGGCATGGGTTCTCTCCAAGGACAGGGAATGCCTTTCGGTCTCTGCTTTCCTGACACCTGATTTGTGGGGTGATGGCTTTAATGGTCTTGATTGGTAGGGTGCCCTTGACTGAACCTCTGAAACAGCCTGTTCCATTGCTGGGTGGCTCTGACAGGAAGGGTGCTACAGCTGGATACCCTCTTCTATCTTCAGCCACTGGAGAGATGTAACTGTACCCTGAAGGCCGGCGTCCCCATGCCAGGCGCATGTCCTCAGGATGGGGGCTGGGGCGATGCTCTCAGGTGCTGGCTGAGCCCCGGCATCACCATGAGACTCAGTCTCATTGTAAATGGGACATGGCCACTCCTCCTGGCCTGGCAGGAGGGACCGGCTATGGGGGCCTTGGCCTAGCTGAGCCAAGCTGTCACATCCTTGACAGGGCACAAAGGGAGAGTGACTTCCCAGGTCACTCGAGGAAAGAGCTGCCAGGCCTTGGCCTTGGCCTGGCCGGTGCAGCCGGGGCCAGCCTCTCCGCAGGCCGGCCTGAGCCGGGCAGGAGGGGTGGACAACGGAGGCCCTGGAGACCGGCACTGCCTCTCCCGAGGAGGCCCTGGGACAAGCCCCGTGCTTGCTGGCCTTGGATTTCCCATCTGTGCGTCATGGTGTTGGCTCCACCTCCGAGGCCCCGTGTGCTCCGCCCAGGGACAGGGCAGAGCAGACCTTCGCGTCTGAGGCCCCAGCCTTGTCCTTCCCTGCCCCTGCATGGAGTACCAGCCTCCCCACCGGCCTGCTGGCCCCCTCCTGCTAAGCAGCTGGGAAGTTTCTAGAAGGCACAGATGCCTTGACCCAAGGCACTCACCCCGCCCCTCTTCTGCACGGTCTGGCTGCTCCTTGGCAGAGAAGGCCTTGGCCTGCTTGGCCAACCCACCCTCATTGTTGTATCCTCTTCTGTAAAACAAAATATAGAAAAGTACAAAAAACACCATAACAAACATCCACCACCCAAAATAAATGCATTCAACATTTTATCACATTTCCTTCAGATCTTAACAACTAAAACACTTTTGAGACCCAGCCAGAGCCCTCCACGTTCCCCTCCCCTGGCCGGCCGGCCCCTTCCTGGGTTCCCGATCTGCTTGGGTGTCCAGTCCACCTCGTCACTCTCAGCTATGGTGACGTGTGTGGTTCACCTGGGTGCGGCCTGGCAGCTGCTTTGACTTCTGGCATTACATTTGTGACCAGTGGAAACACCTGCTCTTTAATTTAGGCTTGTGGCAAAGACCCCCACTCTCTCTGAGAAGTCTCCCCAAAGCCCCCTAGGCTGTGGGGAGGTTGGTCTGCATGCCCACAGCTGGGCCAGGTCTCAGAATGATCCTCGAGGGGTGAATCTATCCCGGCGTCACTGCCGGGAGGCTTAATGGGCCGTGGAAGGAGGGCAGAGGGAAGACGGCACGAAAGCAGGAAGTCGGGGGGTTGGGCGAGCATGCAGGTGGAGGCCCGGGAGGCAAGGCCTACTCACCATGTTCTCTCCTGGTCCCACCTGCAGCCAAGTATCCGGCCATCAAGGCCCTGATGCGGCCCGACCCTCATCTCAAGTGGACGGTGCTGGGGATGGTGCTGGCACAGCTGCTGGCCTGCTGGCTGGTGCGGGGGCTGGCGTGGCGCTGGCTGCTCTTCTGGGCCTACGCCTTCGGCGGCTGCGTCAACCACTCGCTGACGCTGGCCATCCACGACATCTCCCACAACGCCGCCTTCGGCACGGGCCGCGCCGCCCGCAACCGCTGGTTCGCCGTCTTCGCCAACCTGCCGGTGGGCGTGCCCTACGCCGCCTCCTTCAAGAAGTACCACGTGGATCACCACCGCTACCTGGGCGGCGACGGGCTGGACGTGGACGTGCCCACGCGCCTGGAGGGCTGGCTTTTCTGCACGCCGGCCCGCAAGCTGCTCTGGCTGGTGCTGCAGCCCTTCTTCTACTCGCTGCGGCCGCTCTGCGTGAACCCCAAGGCCCTGACCCGCATGGAGGTGTTCAACGCCCTGGTGCAGCTGGCGGCCGACGCCGCCCTCTTCGCCCTCTGGGGGCTGAAGCCCGTGGCCTACCTGCTGGCCAGCACTCTGCTGGGCCTGGGCCTCCACCCCATCTCCGGCCACTTCGTGGCTGAGCACTACATGTTCCTCAAGGGCCACGAGACCTACTCCTACTATGGGCCCCTCAACTGGATCACCTTCAACGTGGGCTACCACATGGAGCACCACGACTTCCCCAGCATCCCGGGCTGCAACCTGCCCCTGGTACGTGGGCGGGGGCTGGGGGCCACTTCTGGCCTGCTTTTCCTCTCATGCTGGTCACTGGTGCCCACGTTGTCAGCTGTGGCCCCCAGGGCAAGGGGCAAGGGGCAAGGCCATCTATCCAGTACAGGCCAGTGCCCGGCTGGAGAAGGAGGTGAGTTCAGGAAGGGCAGGGGCTCAAGGGGCATCTACAGTTTGGGCCACTTGGTTTAATGAAAAGCAGTTGGAGCCCCGATATGTACTGGCTGTGCCTCCTTGGGCAAGCCACTTGCCCTCTCTGTGCCTCAGCTTCTTTTGTGACATGGGATAGCAGTAGTGACAGAGCATGTGCGCCACCTCCCCTTCCTGGCTTCTGACACCCTGTACCTGCCCTGTGACTTTCCAGGGGCCCCCACATGGCACAGAGAGGAAAGGGGGTGTTTTGCCCTTTGTGACCCAAGGGTCTTGGCCTCTGCTGCAGGAGACGTGGGAATGGAAGTTCTGGAGGAGGAGTGGGGGGTAAAAGGAGGTACTGGTCTGTCTGGGTGAGTTAGAAAGAGCTCAGGCGCCCTGAGGCACAGGGGGTCAGAGGCAGCAGCGGGGTCTCCTGTGTGTGCATGAGTGTGTGCACGCCTGAGTGTGCCCTGTATGTACAAGCATGTGTGCATATGCTTATGTGTGCGCACGTGTCTGTCTGGCCTGTGTGACTGGAGTCGGGCAGCCTGTGTCTGGCCCTGGCTGTGCACACCCTCCTCTCCCACCCCTCCTTCCCTCTCAGCCCCTCCCTCCCCTCCCCGCTTGTCCTCTCCTGCTGAAGGTACTGAGATCCTGCTCTGTGCTGGGTACTATGTCACTTAAGCCTCAGCACAGCCAACGCAGCAGGTGCCCTCATAGCACATCACCCCCATTTCACAGACGAGAAGGCAAGGGCTCAGAGCGGGGAGGTGCCTGCCTCAGGAAGTGGCAGAGCCAGAATCGGGACCCTAGTAGGTCGCAGAAGTGCTTGCTTCTGAGCAAAGTGAACAGCTCCCTGCTCACACCTGTGCAGGTCCCCTTGTCTCCGAGCCCCTTCAGCTCCACAGCAGGCCCTGAGCTCCGATGTGTCCTCCATGGGGGAATGGAGGGCTTCCCATGCACCTGGCCAGCAGGGGAGGTGATGGTGCCCCCGCAGGTGCTGAGGCCTGGGGCACTTCCTGGAGGAGGCGGGCTGACGGTGTGAGGTGCAGAGCTGGAGGGGGGAGAGGGGTGCAAGATAGGCATCTGGGAAATAAGTACTGCAGCTGGGAGGAGGGCGGTGGCGTGGGGGGCGTGGCGGGGGTTGAGGCCAGAGGGGTTGGCAGGCTGGGGAGCAGCATGGACATGACCATGGCCCAGCAGGACTCAAGCCAGGCTGTGCCTCAGAACTCTCCGGTACTTAAGGGGAAGACTCTGACCCACCCTGGGCTCCTGCATCAGAAACTTGGTGAGGGCTCTGGGGAGGGGAGGGTACATTTTAAACTTGGGGCTGGGGGCTGAGACACTGATGGTGCCCTGAGCTAAGAGCCAGCAGCAGCTACCTCCTGCCCTGCTGAGCTGGATGCGGGCACCACGGGAGGTGACAGGGAGGTGCGTGTGTGCACATGCTCGCGTGAGTCTGTGTGCCTTGTGCCTGTCTGCACAAGTGTGTGGCTGAAGCCCATCTGTGCCAGGGCACAGCCTCTGACCGGCCCCCTCTCTGCAGGTGCGGAAGATTGCACCCGAATACTACGACCACCTGCCACAGCACCACTCGTGGGTCAAGGTACTCTGGGATTTTGTGTTCGAGGACTCCTTGGGGCCCTACGCCAGGGTGAAGCGGGTGTGCAAGCTGGCAGAGGAACGCCTGTGAGCCTGACCCACTGGCGCCCGAGTAGATGGACCGTGCTGTGCCCTAGCGGGCTGGCTGCCAGGCCTCACCCTGCCCCACCCACCTGCCACAGAGCTGGCTGTCACCGTCCCCCTATCAGCCTAGTGCCCAGAACTGGTTTGGCTGCATTTAGTTCCCGCGCCCTGGGCTGTCTGTCCCCTAGACTCCAAATGACCACGCCTGGGGACAGGGGCACAGGCTATAGCCTGGAGAAGCTTGGTCTGCATGTGGACTTGCTGTTGACCTCAAGCCAGGCCTGCCCTTTCTGGGCCTCGCGGGGCCTGGCCCTGCCCCGGGTATTGTGGCCAGTCCCCACGGAGCGGATTTCTCTGGTGTTCCCATGCCCTAAATTAAGTCAGCGTTGTTTTCATATCCAGGGATGTGCTTCGAGGGGGTGCTCTCAGCTGCAGCCTGGGCCTGAGAACGAGCCCCCCCCCCCCCCCCCCCCCCCCCCCNTTCCAAGTCCGTGGGAAGGATTCACGGAGTCCTGCATATATGCCCACGCTGGATAGACTCTGGTGGTTGGCAGTATCCCCCCCGCCATCCCTGGAGGTGGGCCCTAAGTTATGCCCCTCCTGCTTCCTGCCCCCTGGGGACTGCTGTTGCTCCCACACTTTGGTCTCAGGCAGCATTCCCTGAGGGCTCTGCCATTGGTGGCCAGCCTTTGGGGGCATAGGCAGCTCCATGTGGCCCCAAAGCCCCTCATTACCAGCCTTCCCGCTTCTGTACCCTGGGGGGGCTGGGGGCTGCAGACGTTGCCTCCCCTCGGCCCATGTTGCCTGCTCCTGCCGTCGCCCCTGCCCCAGGCCTGCCGAAGTCCTGTTCCACCGTGAGCCCTCACCCCTGCAGGAAGGCTTCACTGAGCCCCAAGGGGGTTCAGGCTTGACTCTGTGGGGTATGTCTCCCCCACCAGCTCAGGTGTGGGACTTGGGATTCTTACAGAACAGGGGCCACAGGCCATACGGTGGGCGGACAGGTGACTGCCGAGTCAACTGTAGCCCCCAGGGAACCAGGCTGGTGCCCGTGGTGTCTCTGTAAAGGGGGACACGGCTCTGTCCTGACTGTGGCGGGGGCTGATGGCACAGCTGAGACTTGGGAAGCACCGTTCTCATCAGCCCCTTGGCTCCCCTACCCTCAGGCCCCGAGCCTGCAGGGTTCCTGGACTTCGGGATACGGAAGGCAGCTGGAGAGAGCAGTTCAAGCCGCCTCGGCCTGGGGCCAGCCACTTAGATCTGCGCCTCGGGCCGACCGCCTAACGGGTACAATAATCCTCCTCCTTTCCTTGGGGTTGTTGGAGACAGTGAGCTGAAGTATGTCCAGAGCATGGCCAGAAAGGTCGCCTTGTCATCAGCCAGACTGGGCCTGGGGGCCAGGGGCTGGGCACACTGTTGTGTCTGTGGTGGCTGCGGGACGGTCCCAGGATGTGAAGGCCGACTCCACCTGCTGGGCCCTCGCTCCCGGCCCAGGAGCAGCAGTGGCCGAGGCCGAGTCAGGCCCTCCCTGGCTACGATGGGGAACTTGCCTGGCCTGAGAAGGGCTGGCAAGTGCCTCAAGGGGGCATTTGGACACCCCTGCTGCCATGGGGGTGGGGGCTCGTGGTCCTCTCAGGAAGACGCAGCGGGAGGCGGGGGCGGAGTGGAAGGCAAGGCCTGCTCTCCATTTCTGCACTGCCAACCCAGCCCGCTGAGGTGCCCATCTGCGAGGTGGATGGGTTGGCCAGGACTTTGGCCCCACTGATCTGAGCACACACGGGCTCCCTCTGATATCCAGGCATGGGCTTGCCACTCAGGGTCCATCTCCCCCGCCCTGGGGGGGGGTGTTTCCAAGGCCTCCCCTGGACCCGAGTGCAGCCCCGCTACTGACCCAAGGCCCCCGTCTAGCTCCTACTACTCCTGCCACCACTGTCGCGGGCCCTTCCCCCCAAAGAGGCATCCCCCAGCCAGGAGCGACCAAGAGCCGGGCATGTGGACAGGAAGCGTTTATTACCACGTGGACAGACACTGCGGTGCGTGACACCTTCACCACCAGGCCGCTGTGGAAGGAGCTTCACGTGGACAGCTCCCCCATGCCAGCCAAGGTGCTGACAACGTCACCCAGGAGAAGACTGGGGAACCATCTAATGAAGCGCATGATTTGGGGCGTCTTCTCTATAAACCAAAAGAAATGTACACTTAAATAGGCAAATATAAAATACAAAAAAAGGCGAGTAGACCTGGTGTGTGTCAGGTAGAATCTAAAAAAATCCAGGAATTGAGCTTTTTCCTCATTTTAGTATTTTATCTCAGGCTAAGACTTTCAATGAAGCAAGTCTTAGCTTCAGCGTGCGCTGGCGTGTGCTGGAGGCCTGGGCCGGCTGGGTTCCTCACTGTCCTCGCCGTCGGGAGGACTGCGTCTCGCGTGGCGGCAGGGCCGCGTGCACTAGGAGGTGCTGATCCCACTCAGCTCCTGCCTGATGGCTGTGGGACAGGACGGGGGACACAGGCTCAGGTCCTTGCAGGGCGCCCTGCCTGCTGCCTACCCTAGCCCGTCTCCTGAGAGCCTCACCCAGGTTCCCAAGGGTCAGGGCACAGACTTTGGGGTGACAACCAAGCCCTTGTGCGTCTCAGTCCCTTGAGGGCGGAGCTGCTCCTCCCGAGCTGAGGGGGCGATGACCTGCCCAGACCCGGAGCTGGGGAGGGGCCCTAGGCTGGAGGGTATCCCAGTCTTGCCTGGAGGACCTGGGAGGCCCTCCCCTGACGTGGCAGCAGGAAGTCCCCGGCGCTGAATGAAGCCGACGCCCCTGGACTTCTGGCCTGAGCTCTTCCCCCACCAGCGAGGGCCAGGGGCTTCCCTTGCTCTTCTCCCAGCTTCCGCCTGTCCCTCCAAATTTGGGCCTTTCCCCGGACAGACCCCACTGGGCCTGGAGCCAAAGGCCAGGAGAAAGAGCCGAGGGCTGGGCATTTGTCAAGTAATAAGGGGTGTTTCTGGGAGCCCCCAACTGCCCACGCTTCCCCACGGCCCGCTTGGCCGCCCGCCTGCGAGGCAGCTTCCACATATGGCTGCCCCGATGGCAGATGGGGAGACCGAGGCCTGGAGACACGTTTCCCAGCACACTTTGCTCTGCAGACAGGCTGGCTGGGCAGCCCTGCTCCCAGCCGCACAGCAGCTCTGGCCCTGGGGGCCACAAGGGCAGCCCCTTCTGGGGGACACCCAGCAATAAAGCCGAGTTAATAGCTGGCTGTGTCTCCCTTCTGGCTCCAGCTCTGTCTAGGCTCTTCATTCATTAACTCCTTATCTCCCCAGCGCAGGCCTGTGGGGGGACTAGACAGGAACTGAGTGCTCTCTGCTGGGACTAGAACAGGGTGTGGCTTGGTCACCCAGCTCTGGGCAGGGGACCGGGGGTGTGGGCACCTCAGGCAGGCTCCCACCCTAGCCTCTTCTCTCTCTCCAGTCCAGGCAGCTCTCTGCCACCAGCCCCCAACTGTGACTTCATCATGCCCCCAACCCCCGCCTTTGGTGTGTGTGTGGGGGGGTCCAGGAGGCGCCTCGCTGCTTTGTCCCAGGGCTGAGCCAGCCCTGCCCAAACCTTTCCTTTTCCTCTGGCTCCAGATCTGAGCAGCTGTCAGAGGCTCTGGTGGGAGCTGGAAGGACGGACATGATGCGCTGTGACAGGCCCTGCCCTCTGGAACCAGAGGCTCTTTAGGGGGAGCCACCTCCCTGCTGCCCCAGGGCCATGCAGGCTGTGAAGCAGGTCAGGCCCATGAGCAGTTCTGTAGCTTCTTGGAGCCCCTAGGCCCCCAGGAATGCAGTGTCACCCTCATAACTTCAAACCCAGTGATCGGACGTAGCAGAATCAAAAAAGGCAACCTAGTCTACAGACGCTGAAATGGACAGCACATTGAAGCTGCTTTGACTGCCCTCAGCTCTGGGCGCATTCTCGATCACACCTCCCCTCCCATGCATTGGGGGGCGTGGGAGAGGGTAGACTTAGGTGTCACACCACCAGGGAGGTGTGTATACTCGGGCAAGTCCCTTAACCTGTGTGACTGTTTTCTCTGCTAGAGAATGGGGAGGGTGCCGTGGGCTGTTAGGAGGAAGCGTGAAGCCTTCTGGGCCCTGGTGCCTGCCCCATCCCATCTCCTGAGCCCCACCCCCACCCTGGGGTGATGCCCCCGGCGGGCCCTCCACTCACCATCGATGATCTCGTCCTTCACTTTGTGGAGCTCTCGAACCACCTCCTCCAGGATCTCCTGGGGGAGCAGAGACAGGAAAGCTGGCCTTGTCGGGCGGTGAGCTGCGGGGGCAGGGCCATCCCGGCCTCCCTGCAGGACCACAGCCCTCACCCATGCCCCAAGCCAGGGGGAGGCTGGGGTGCGCCTTCCACACTTCAGGTGCACCAGGCCGGGAGTGCCCGGCGGGCAGAGGCCATGCTTTGTTCTGGCGTGGCAGGGGCTGGGGACAAGTGCTGCAACCCTCTTCCCCTCAGGGACCGAGACAGTCCCTGCCTCTGGCTCCTTCTGGCCTCGCAGGGAAGTACACACTCACCTGTTTCATCCGGTCTAAATCGAAGGCGTCCAAGGCCACATCATTTACACTTCCTGCCGGCTTCACCCTGGGGAGAGGACGGCAGGGTGCGGTAAAGAGAGGTGGCGGGCCTGGCAGGTGCCAACCACGCTGGGGGACTGGGTGTGAGAAGGACAGCCTCCCGCTCAGGGGCGAGCACTGCCCCCTTCCCATCGTCCCTTCTTACTTTTATCTCTGGCCACTGTTTGCTACCTGAAGAGGATTCTAATGCCCCGCCTCCACCTCGAGGGTTTCATGGATACTGTGACCGTATTTGCCAACCCAAGAGTCAGGACGTGGGGTCCCCAGGGGAGCTGTTGGCTGATTTGAGCTCACTCAGCGTTACCTGTCACACACTGCCTCCCCTGGAAGGCAGACAGCACGGGTAAGCTAGTCCTCGGTGTGTGTGGGGCGGTCTACGTTCCCGGCTAAACTGAAGCTTGGGAGAAACTCGTACCAATGGCCGTCAGTACAATGCAAAACACAAACCGTCCAGGAAACACTCAGCCCAAAGGCACCCACTTCCGACAGAAAACTGCTCCGAGCCTAGCTTCTTCAGAAAATGTCCTTGGATGCAGTTTTGCTCTTTTGAGACAAAGGTTTCAGTTTCAGGGACTGTACATCTTTGAAAAGCTTCTGAACCAAGGCTAGCTGGTTTGAAATTTAATGTCCTTTGCACAGACCTCTCTCTGGAAACCCTGGCAAAATGCTCGTCTAACCACCTTTTCGAATAGGACTGCAGAGCATGCTTTCCAGATCTGGTGTCTCTCCCACATGGAGAGAGAGGCTGGTGGGCAATGCCGTGGCCCGGGTGTGAGGGGGGTGCCACGTGGACCTGGCAGGGCCGGCATGGCTGCGAGGGCCGCTGTGCAGGGTAGGACCACCTGGTGAAATTGAGGGCTGGTGCTCTCCACAGCGAAGGACTGTAAGCATGAAAACGATGGTGCTGGCGCAGCCACCGTGGAAAACCGCACGGCGGTGCCTCAGAAAATGTATAAAAGAGCCACCGAATGAGCCAGCAACCCCACTTCGGGGCAGGAATCCAAGGCGGGTGAAATCGCTGTCTCAGAGAGAGCCGCGCCCCCACGCTCACGGCAGCAGTGTTCACGGCAGTCAAGACCTGGAAGCGCCTAAGTGCCCATGGACGGATGGATGCAGAGAAGACGTGGTACACATAATGGACGGTATGTATGTATCACTGTCTAATGGAAATGACTCGGCCATGAGATAGAAGGAAGTCCTGCCGTTTGTGGCAACATGGATGGACCTTGAGAGCATTATGCTAAGTGAGATAAGCCAGACAGGGAAAGACAAATGCTGTATGATCTCATGTATATGTGGAATTGAAAAAAACAGATTTACAGAAACAAACGCTAGACTGGTGCTTGCTAGGGGCTGGGGGGTGAGGGAGATGGGTGAAGGTGGTCACAGGGCAGGCATCCCAGTTATAAGATGGCTATGTTCTGGGGACGTGGTGGCGGCATGGCGATGACAGTTAACAATATTGTGTGCTTGAAAGTAGCTAAGAGAGATCTTGAAAGTTCTTACCACACATACAAAAACAGGTAACTATGTGAGGTGATAGCTGTGTTTCTTAACTTGATTGCGGCAATCATTTCACGATACATGCATGTATCAAATCACCATGTTGTGTGTCTTAAACTGTGTATAAATGGGAGATGTCAATTATATCTCAATGAAGCTGGAAAACCCCCCACTGAATATTATATAAAAGTTTAGTGGTCCAAGGCACAGAAGTGGATTTAAAAAAAAGAAAGAAAAAGCAAGTGCTCCCACACCCCTCCTGGATGGTGAGTCTAAAGAAGAGGCCAAATGTGGTCCTGAACGAGTCTGCAAGTCATTGTGGGCCCCAACGGGGAAAGAGGCCTGGCCTGAGCACCCGGGGTCTGTCACAACTATCCTATAATCCTGTATGCTGAGGTCCCTGTTGCAACAGCAATTTTCTGGGTCATCGGGGCAAACCGCTTCACCTCTCTGCACACACTTCACACTCCAGATGGGAGCACGGACCTGCTCTGTGAGCTCAGCAATGCGACTGCCTGACAAGGACCGTTATTACACGGCCCCAAAAGCCGCCTGTGAAACTAGAGAACAGAGCTGTCTCAGAGCTGGAGAGCCCCATTCCAGTGGGAACGCCCTTGACAACGTCCTTGCCCTGTGAGGGACACTTGGCAGCCCATCCTTGCCCCAGCAGCACAAGTGGCTAGTTGGGCTGACAGAGCTGCAGGCTCAGCCCTGGGTGCCTGCCTGCCCCTGGGCCCCGTTTCTGTTCCTTCCCTTCACAGCCACAGCGAGCCACAGTGCTAATCCGTCATGGCGCCCTGTGTTTACAGCTCATGGACTGGGGCCCTACACAGAGAAGAAAACCCAAACTTCTCACCACGCGACTCCTTCCTAGCCCTGTAACCTCACCTTCCTCTGCCCTTCCCACTTTCTAGCACATGTCAGCCACACGGGTCTGCTTTCTGTTCTTTAAACTTGCCTGGTTGGTTATAGGCTCAGGGCCTCAGCACTTCCATTCCTCCAGGCTAGAAGGCTGTTCCCAGCCTTCACAGGGCAGGCTCCTCCTCATCCAGGTCACCCCAGGTGCCACCTCTGAGAGGCCTGCCCAGCCCACTTGCTAAAACACCTCTGTCCCAGCGCTGCCTGCCCTGCGACCCCCTAGGTCTCCTCCAGGGCGTCTCTGAGAGCCCACAGGCCTCCCCAGCAGAGAAGCCAGATCCTTGCAGGCAGGGACGTGCAGACCCCAGCCCAGGACCTGGCAGACCACAGGCCCTGGGAGAGGCCTGGCTGTCCGCTGACACCGCCTCCCACTGGCTAAGAGGCCTGTGGTAAGAGGTGCTGCCATTCAATTTGTGGCGGGCAGTGGAGACGTTTCTAAGTACGGGTTCTAGAAGCCTGCAAATTCAGGCCACCCTTGGCCTGTGGTTACGATGTGGCTGTTTGTCTCTGACTTTTGGGGCTGCGTCAGTTTCAAATATCCTATCCTGTTCCCACACCAGCTTTTGGTTTGGGAAATACGGTCAGCATACCTTGGGGAAAACAGGCTGTGTGTGCTGTGTGCAGAGGAAGGACAGGAGGCTGGGTGCTGGGCCGGCCCCGGGATTAGCAGTGCCGTGGGATGGTGAGCACTTCCTGTGCCCGTGTTGCCCACACAGCTGTCCACACGGCTGTTGTGACACAGAGGTTGACAGGCCTCTTCACCGGGAGGGGTGGAGAGGCTTAGAGAGGTCACACAATGTGTCATTGCTGGGACTCGATGCCAGCTCCACTCCCTGCCTCTCTGGACAGGTCACTGCCCTTCCAGGCCTCAGTCTTTCCCTCTCTGAGAGGAGAGGAAGGTGTAGGCCTGCACGATCCCTGCCGCCTCCCAGCTCTCCCTGTCCCCAGGTCCGAAAGAAGAACAGAGCACCCTTTCCCAGAGCAAACTGTTAGATGACAGGACATGGGATGGGGTCCAGGTGTTAGTCAGGGGCAGGGGACCAAGGAGGCCCCAGAGACGGGGTGTTCGGTACCTAGAGTGAGGCTGCGACTGAAGGGGGCTCTTAGCTTCGGGGCTCTTTGCCACGGACGGGGTTCTAGGGCAATGGAACGAAACAGACACGTGAACTGGAGTGTCGCCGCCTCAGCCCCACCGGCCTCGCGGCTGCGGCCTCCCCGGGCAGCTCACCTGGACAGTAATGAGGACACGGGCTTTTCCACTGAGTTGCTCCGTTCCCAGGGCTTCCGGCCAGCCTCTGTCAATTCATTTTATGGACGAAGAGTCTCAGGGCTGAGAGGAATCCCAGTATCCCCCATCCCTGGCAGGAGGCCCCCCAATGCTGCAGGTGCAGAGCGTCTCTGAGCGGAGCTGAGGCCTGGTTCCTTATTCCCAGTCCCCTTTGGCCCTGGCAGCTCTTGTAGGGCTGTAGATGGCAATGCTGTCACCTGCGTCTCCCCCGCTCAGGACACAAGCTCCCGTTCCCTGAGTCCAGTTGACCTTGACTTGGGGCCTGGTTTCGAGTCCCCTCACCGTGGAAAGTCCACTCTCCTTGGAACGTGAACCAACCGGTAAGGGAACCTCAACTATGACTTCCAGAGTCGACCAGTGCCTCCAGCAGTGGGCTGAGCAGGGCAGAGGCGCTCTGTCCCCCCTGGACACGCTCAGGCAGCCTGAGGGCCACATTTGCTTTTGGGGGCCAGGCTCCTGGGGCCCCATGTGCACCCACTGTCCGCTGATTCGCTGGTCTTCCCCACACACTACAGCTGGCCCTTTCCCATCCTGGGCTCGAGGGCTGGTCTGTCTTTCCTTTCTCTTTTTTAGGTTAAGTGGTATTCAATTATAGTTCATTTTACATCAAGAGATTTGTCGAACTGAATTGAACTCACTGACTTTGCTGGATGAGCAGAGAGGCAGAAGGAAAAAACCCCCAGGGCAGCAGGACGGCCCCGAGCTGAGCCCAGAGACTCTGAGGCCCGACCGAGGATCCCAGGCAGATCTCCTGAAAGCCACCGCCTGGGACACACGCTGGGCCCGCAGGCATGAGAGCTGGGCCCAGTTCCAGGCTGTAGGCATGTGGGCTTAGCAAACCACTTGACCACACTGAGCTTCAACCTGCTAAACTGAGAAAACGCCCAGCCCATGCACGGGGACGGAAGATGTTCAGTCATTCACCGAGTCCCCAGCACACCTCTGAGGAAAGGGGAACACTCCAGCAGAGTACCAGGCCAAGAGGCCGCTGCAGGGGCGGAGCCACGCCAGCCAGACAGTGGGGGTGGGGCAGCCTGCTTCCTCCCTGCCTCTCCTGCTCCTGCCTAGTGGATGCTCAACACATGACTACTGAGTGACTGAGGGACCAAGCCCAGCGTGGTCTTCCCACTGTACACCTCTAGTCACTCCTCCAGTCACATCCCCGTGTCCCGGAGCTCAGACTGTGGGATTTCTGAGCAGGGATCGGCTCTTTCTGGTGGAGCAAGACTCACTGGTGAGCACTGCCACATCTGTCATAGTTGGCATTTTGCAGGGGGACATGAATGTGACTTTTATACATTCCTCTTTAGGGTCCTAGCCCAAGGTCAGGAACCTGATCCCAGGCCAATCTCCTTCCACTTGAGAGGTATAGGGGAAGGAGAGGGCTGGGCGGGTGGCCTTTGTGGTCTGGCCAGCTCTGGTGCCGCACAAGGCAGGTCGTCCCCTGAGATGCCAGCACTTCTGAGTTCCTGCTGGAGCTCAGTGTGAAGGTCATACTGAAATCTGACCTGGGCTCCTTGGAGCAGGGACTTCTGCAAAGGTGGCAGGAACCCTGCAGGTGCAGACCCTGACAGTCTCTGCTTATCCGTAAGTAAAGTGGAGGGATCAGACGGTGGTCCTGTAAGAGCCCCTCCTGCCGTGAGACCGCGCCCGGCGCTGGCCAGGACGGGAACTCTTACCTGAGGTGTTAGGCGGCTGGCTGGCTGCTCGGGTCCCTGGAGACGGAGAGGTGCTGGGCTCTTCCTAAAATGGGAGAGAAAGGCTGGGCCGTCAGTCTGCTTACAAAGGCTGGCTGGCAGGGGCAGGGTTCCTTTGACCGGGTCATCTACACAACCTCAGTTTCCCATATTTTAAAGAACACATGTTACTTTTTTTTTTTTTTTTAAGCTGAGCCATCCTGCTACCTGTTGGCAGCTCAGCGGCTGCTCAGCTCGGGCTGGACTCGAACCGCTGTTGCTCAGAGCTCACACTCTTGAGCGAGCTCTTAACCAACTGAGCCACTCGGCCGGCCCTCACATGTTACTTTTATAAGCAGCAAAATAATGGATATTACTAACAAATGAGAACCCCAAATCCTGGTGGGGAGCTGGTCTGGCCCATGGAAGTCAGGGAAGGAGAGGGCTGTGGAGACGCAGGCTCCTGCCGAGCAGGCAGACTCTCTTTAGGGTCCCACCAACCCAGGCCATGACCAAGCCTGCTGTGGGCCCAACACTTCCACATCGCATGAGCACCTCAAACGGGGCCTGAGGTCCTGGGGTGTGCCAGCACTGTCACAAAGAGCTTCTGCTCCATTGGCCACTGTGACGGGAGGAGCCCGACGGGACCCACCTAAGGGACCTCCCTGCTCTTGGCCTGGCTCCTGTGTCTGATGGCTGGTGTGAGGATCAGATGTCTGGGTGACCCTACAGGGTGCTGTGCAGCTGGATTGGCTGCCGGGCTGGGCTCTGGGAGCCGGGTTCCGTTGGCCCTGCGGGGCAGGGCAGTCACAGCACAGCCCATGTCCTGCAGACGTGGCTGTGGAAGACCGGGCATGCTTCTCTTCTCTTTCACGAGAGAGGAAGTGGTGCGAAGCCATTCCGTTATCTCTAGCCCAACCAGCCCACAGGTTCATGAACGTTGCTGCCAAAATGAGTTCTAAAATCTAGGTCTGTCCTCTCTAGTCCTCTGCTAAAAGTTCCTGACGGCTGGTGGGAGGCAGCCTGGCAGATGGGCAGGCAGAACCGCCCCTGGCCGTCTCGCACACCCCTGCCCGGGCCCATGCTGCTCCGGTGCCGGCTCTCTGCTTTGGTCTCTGGCCTGCAAATTGGGGCTCATCTTTCAAAGCTCAGGGGGCTGTAGGCGGAGTTTTGGGACTTGCCCCTTGACTCCCGGGCCCAGTGCTCCTTCTGTCTCTGCCCTCATCACTTTCTTTGCCAACAGTCTGCTTGCTGTGTCCTCTCCCTTAAGGTCAGAGGCCACACCTTATCCGTCACTGGGTCCCTAGCACATGCACGGCCTGGCCCATGGTGGGCTCCAAAGAGCCCTCTGCCAGTCGCACAGCCTGCAGGGCTGCCAGGCCGGCGTGCCATGGGGCATCAGTGGAACTGGTCCCTACAGCGGTCACAGAACTGGCCTGTGGCCATCAAGTGCCAGAGCGCCTGCCTGAGCATCTGATTCCACACTCGAGGCTCCTTCCTTTTTAAAAATAATGCTTGTGGGCCGGCCGAGCGGCGCATTGGTTAAGAACTGGCTTGGGATGCCAGAGGGCCCCGGTTGGGATCCCACATATGAGGGTCAGTGACACTGCCCTCTACAGCTAAGATGCTGAACAACAGCTCAACCTGGAGCTGGGCTGCCGTGAGTCGCCGGCGATGGCGTAGGCTGCAGCCCCTGTTGCAGTGGGTTGCCATGGGCTACCGTGTGTAGCCAGCAGCCAGCGTGAGCGGCCAGCAGCCGCCGTGAGCGGCCGTCCAGAAGCCGGCGAATGATCTGCCTCACCCAGGAAGAGCGCAATGATGGTGCCAACTTGGGCCAGTGAAGCAACGTCCTCCACAACTAGACTGAAGAACAAAAGGACAGCAACTTGTCTGTTCCCCTTCCCCCAATTCCCCAGTGCTGTTCCCATGTCCCAATTCCCCAATTAAAATAAATAAATAAATAATGCTTGTTTGTTCTCCACTAGTTATAAACCTAGTCTATGTTCAGTGAAGAAAATCTGGAAAGTACTGAAAAGTATGAAACAGAAGAGCTCCCTTTCAGTGTCTCACCCACATCGCTCTGGTCTGGAGCTTTTCTAGCCCTGCTCTTGGGAGAAGCAATTGGGGTGTGTAAGGGGCCTGCTGACCATGTGTGGGACCGAGGCAAATGGAACTAGCAGCAACCAGGAGGTCCATTAGAAAAAGAAGGAAAAAGTGGGGGGTCAGAGGACGAGAACTGCACCCATGGGGCTGAGGTGTCTTCCAGAGTCCCTGGATTTTGGGGTCTGGGCTAGAAGAACCAGCACCAGTCTAAGAGAAGCAGCACCGGCCTGAGAGCTCTACCGCGGCCGCCAAAACCTGGCCACATCTTGTGATACCTGTGACTGTCCTGTGGCTCCTGTCACACAGGCCTCTGCAGTTTTAGACATTCGTGGACGAACTCCATACTCTACGCAAAAGGCATGAGGACAGTAGGTTACACAGGCCTGGCCCCCATAGGGCTCACAGCGAAGGGTGAGTCTGAATAAGCAACAATGCAAGTGCTAAGGTCCCGAGGACAAGCAGATGTGTGTGGGGCTAGGGATCAAGTCATGGGGAGCCCTACCCAGCCTAGGGTCTGGGAGGCTGCTTTTCAGGGAGTAATGTTAACATAGAGGAGTGCAGGCTGAGGAGTTAGCAGTGGGGATGAGGGGACTGCACGGCTCAGGCATGGGGATCAGAGGACGGACGGGAAAATTGGTGGGCAGGGCTGGAGCCCAGGGGTCAGAGTGGCTCAGCCCCGCACTGCTGATGGGGAAAATTAAGTCAGCAAGTGCTCGCTGCTGCCTGGTGATTGTATTTCTTCTGTCTCCTTCTGCTACTGAGAGACAAACTGCATGCCATTTGTAGGTAAGGTCTAAGCCTAGCCATTTCAACAGGACTCTGTTGTTACAGAGAAAAGAGTGAGGCGCCCTGAGTGGACGCGATGCTTCGAGCCTGTGCAGCCACACTAGCCTCTAGGACATCGTAGGATGAGAGCCAGAGTCCCCATTCCTCCACCCAGCTCACCAGCAGCGCTTGCTGGATTCGATGGGCTCAAGTGGAGTCTTTAAGAGCAGGAATAATTAGAAATAAAACCCGCCTGGTATTCCAGCAGGTGTTCCTGCTGCACTGCCCTCCGATCCCCAAATCTGAGGGGCTGGGGTCTGTGTGTGGCCCTCTGCGCCCCAGGCTCCAGGCTTCTCCCTCAGGGCACTCTTGGGCCGGATCCTGCTTTTTTGCCTTTTATCTGAATCCCCTAGGAGCTGCGAGATCCAAACGGGGGCAGTGTCTGCTAGACGTTCAGTGAACACAGGCCTGTCACCCTTGCTGTTATTGTGATGGACCTGAGCCTTCCACAGGCTCTCCTGCCCCCCCCCCCGCCCCCCCGCCATCCCTTGTATAAATCACCTGGGAAAGTATCTATCACATGTATGTCCAAACCAGGTGCACCTTGGTATCCCAAAGGTGTGGCTTGGGGCCAGAGAGCCTTCCTGGTCTATTCACTGGTGGGATGGGAGGGTGGGGGAGGGGGCTTTTGCTCACCGTTTGGCTTTCGTCTTCCTTTTTATCAGCCGGCTTGTCTGTTTGGGAGGCTGCTTTTCTCCTAACACAAGAAGAAGATCCAGATCAGCTCCTGAATGTTTTCCCACCAGTCCAGATGCCCCGTCTTTGCCGGACACAGCTTGGTCCTCAGAGCATCCCGTGTGGGGGTCTGACCCGTTTTGTGTGACGGACGCAGCTTGTCCAAGCACCCGTCTAATCTGTGGCGATGCTGGGTGAGTGTTCAGGCCTTCTGTGCTTGTCCCATGACCCTGGACACAAAACTGTTCTGGGCAGAGAGGATGGGGGCCGAGGGACATAGCTATCTCTGTCTGTGGTACCTGAGGGTCAGAAGAAGTTGGTCTGCACCCTGTCCGGGTTCCCTGGGGGCCTGGCTGGCAGTTATTCTTCCGGGCCACATGGGATGGGAAAGGTGCCCTCTGGGCTGTGACCTGTCACAGCCAGGACTGTGGGGTCACTCTGTCTGCAGGATGACCCGCCTGGGTGAGCGGACCCCACCACCTGTGGGAGGGAGGAAGGGCCTTTTTCTGTCGCCCCAATCTGGAATACCACTGACAACCTGGACATGCTCAGAGAAGGACAGATTTTCAATAGTCTGAATTGATGCCCTCTGGTAATTTCAAGCTTTTCCCCCACAGGTATGAATTCTCTTTTCATAATACTCTTATTTTTTTAACCTTAGTGGTCGCCTATATCTGGCTAACTCCCAAATCTATCCACATCGGCCCTTAATATTCTCCAAAGACATGCCTTTGGGCATCTCCAGCTCGGTGAAGCCTCCAGCGCACAGAACTGAGGCCTCGTGAACTGAGCTCCCCATCAAGAAGAAAGCTGGCCTGATGAGTGGCCAATGGCTGGCTGTCATCAGCCTGGCGACAGGCCCCACGGTAGCCTCCTCATCTCAGGAAGAGCTGGTCTACCGGCCTATCGCTCCTCCCAAACACCAACTTCTTCCTCACAACAGGCAGGCGGTCAATGCTACCTCTACATTTTGGTTTGAATTTGTCTTTTCTCACCATCACTCCTGAAACCTAGTGCAAGCTGCCATCATCTGCTCCTGGACGACTGCAGTGACCACTCTACCACTCTGCCCCATGACATTCTACTCTACCTAGAGCCAGTGTTTAATTTTCAAAAGTCCAGAGCAGGCCAGGCTCTCCCAGCCCCGCCAAGTCAGCGAGCTAAGTGTGTGTGCAAGCGCTCAGCACACAGCAGCCCTCAGCAGTGCCCTGCCCCTGGACTCCACTGCCGGGCACGGCCTCAGCCATGGCCGCACAGGCAGCGGGCGGAGAGTCTGCAACACGTGCCCGAGAAGCAGCAGTTGGCGAGGGCCTTCTTGCTGTCAACTCCACGCAGCACCCATCCCCAAGGCGGGTTTTTCAGAGCCCCTCGGTGAATCCTTGCTGAGCTGTGCAAAGGCTGCGTGTTCTTGGTGGGCCCGGATTGTCCAGCAGCACCTGCGCGTCTCAGTTACCGGCTCCTAGGGAAGCCGCCTGTTCCTGTTCTCAGGGACTTCCTCTCCGTGTGGTCTGAGCCATCTAGGCCAAGCTGTTATGGTTAACGTGCTGGTTTTGGACTCGGGGAAAGTGTGAATATTTTCTTTTTGAAAAGCGTGTTCTATTTTATGAGGCCCCATTCCCTTCTCTGATGGACTGCAAAGCGCTTGCATGATGACACTCTTCCAGCCTCACTGGTCAGTGCTCTGGGCGCGAGTCAGCCCTCCCCGGCGTGTCAACACTGCCCAGTGCACCTCGACATGCTCTTCTCTGCTTCCTGAACCTGTAGCATAGTTCTCGACCTTCAAGGCTGAGCACATGTGGAGCCTCCTCTGGGAAGCCCTCCTGGCTCTCTCCCCCAGTGAGCTGTCTGCTTTCCATGTGCAGCCCGTCACCCTGCACATCTCTGGTCGCTGTATGACAGCTGCTCACGTCTGTCCCCACTGTTGGTTATCTGTGGAGGCTGTGGGTCACCCTCCCTGCTCCCTCTCCCACTTGTGGCAGGTTCCCTTCCGTGTGTGCAGAGGCCCTGGGCAGGAAACGTGGGCTCTGCCCCTGTTCGTTGCGGGCCTTTGCTTCCACCTCATCGTCACAGTTGTGTGCATTTAAGGAGGTGAAACGGCGTCACGTGAAGGCCCCGGGCACACAGAGGGCTTGCAGGCAGGAGGGGTCATGGCTGGAGTAAGGCCCCTGCCCTTGCTTTTCTCAGAGCACAGGAGCATTCTGACAGGTGTGGCCTGCTGCTGGGCCCTTTGGTGCCTAGGTGAGCCATGGCACTAGTCACCTGTGTTAGCACCTTCCTACCACCACGCCACATTTACAAGTAAAATCAAGCTTTGCAACCTTTCCAAGAAGTTGTGTGAGCTCTCCAGCTGCTCAGGTTTTAGCTGGGGGAACAATCCAGAGCCTGTGACAGGCTGCAGGCCTTGGGCCAGCTGGAGCCACACCTGCAGGTATGGACGGGGACGTGGGTGATGCGTCACTGGGCCCCACGGTGCAGCCATGAAGTGGATGCAGCTGTCCTTCCGTCTCCTAAGGGTGACGTCCTCTGGCCTCCTGCCTCCTCCCAATTCCGTCTCCTGTGCCCTCCACCATGGCCCCTTCATCACTCACAAGGCCACTCTGGGCCACATCTTATTTACACTGGGGTCCAAAGTGCAGGGGATACTCTTTTTCCCTGAATTTATCTCTGAAATTACATCCAAATTTCTCTCTGCTCAGGACAGGGCTGGTACCTGATAGATGCTTCAATAAATTCTTGTTAAACTGAAATGAAGATGGATTTAGAGTTTAGGAGACTCCTTTTGCTTGATGCCTCAGGCTGACCCCATAAGAAGGGAAAACTTGATTAGCAGTCCCTTGCCTGCCCGTACCCTGGTGACAATGGGTCCTGGGGCCAGGCAAGGACTGTCCTTCGATGCCAAGGGACAGGAGCATCCTGACAGGTCCGGGGAAGCCCAGACACCCACCTCTTTGCCAGCAGTTTGTTCATCTCTTCCATGAGGCCTCCTCCTCCACCCCCACTGCTCGCCCGGTTGGCGTCAGACTTGGAGGTCCCGCTGGGACTCGAGCCTCCAGACGCATCTTCTGGCTGAGGGGACAGGGTGCAGCGTTTTAGTCTGCTGTCTGGAAGGACGCTACTTGAGGAGATGGAGGATGTGTGGGAGTGTAGACGTGGAACTCCCATGATGGCAGTGCCGGGAGAGGCCCAAGGGGTCATCTAGTCCAATCTCCCCCCGCCCACAGGGTACAAAACCAGAGGGACCAGCCTAGCTGGTCACAGTTGGCAGCTACCCCCAGGTCTACTGGTGCACAGTCAGACTCTTGCCAAGACCAGTGTGACATGAGGGAGCGTAGAGACAACTCTTGGGAAGGAAGCCGCACTCCCTACCAGAGGGGTTAGGGCCACACTCAGCCTCCCTCCGCAAGTGCCACCTTCCAGGACGTATGCTGACGGGCTAGGGAACGAACACTGAGCCCTATGGGGTTGGTTTCGTGATACAACATTGATGGAGCGATGGACTTAAACTCAAGACCCGCGTCCTGAGTCCAAACTCTGACTTAAACAAGCCGTCTAAGTTTCCTCATCTAAGGGGGAACTATTTTTTGTGCCGCTTGTGAAGGTCAATGTGAGGACCACCTTCTGGTTTGCACAGCGCCATCCCAGACGGTTCTCACGTAAAGCGACCAGCACAGGTGTAGTCTAGGGTGGGGAGGGCGGTGCTTCACTCAGTGTCTTGCAGATGAGGGCAGGCTCTGTCCAGTGGGCAGTTAGAAACCACTCCCCCAGTCCATCCTGCCGGTGCCAGGGACACTTACCCGCTGGACTCTTCTTAGCTTGGCCCCTGCCAGGGCGGCGGCCAGGCCTGACACGGAGCTCTCGTCATGGCTGGTGCCCTGGGCTCCTCCGGCTGGCAGTGGGGGTGGGGGAGGGGGAGTGGCCCCCGTGGGTGGAGGTGGGACAGGGGGCGGGGGTGGGGGTGGAGGCCCACTACACGAGAGGGGGGCGCTGGCTGTAGATGAGGGGTGCCCCGGTGGGAGGATGGGTCCTGAAACGCAATAGTGGGGCTCAGTCAGCCCCCAGCCCCCAGGTGGTGATTCCTTGGGAGAGAGGAGGGACCAGGGCAGCCTGCTCCCCTGGGGGATGAGGGGCAGCTCAAGGTTGCCTCTTCCGTCTCCCCCGGGGGTGAGCTGGGCCCTGGTCCAGTCACTCCCTATGCTTCTCTCCCCAGCATTCTGGACCCACATACTTGCTTAACATCCCTTGAGCGTAGCCAACTTTCTATTGCACTTCTCATGGGTTTCCAGTGGGAGAGGATCATTGGTGGCAATTGTACCTTTGTTCCTTCTGGGTACCTTGTACCATCCTAGGCATTAGCAGACACTGGTCCCTGAGATGCAACTGTGACTGGCCCTTGGCCTCTGGGGACTGTGGCAGGTGACTGCGGGTTGCAGGGCTGACCCGGGCATGTGTCGGGGAGCAGTGCTGAATGCTTGGCAGTCCCCTGTCCCCCATCTCCCCTCTATGCAATGCTGGCTGAGCTTCCACTGTGTACCCAGCGCTGTGCCCGGCCCTGGGGAAAAGTCGGCCACAGGCTCTGCTCATGGTGCTCGGGGCCTAGTGGGGAAACAGTCCCCAATCCCACAGGGGAACGCACAGCAGTAGCTGTGGCAGGTTGACAAGTGCTACCCAGAACAGGCACTTGATGCCACCTTGGCATATAAAGAGGGGCCAGGAGTCCATGTACGATTTCCTTAGGGAAGTGACAGAGAAGCAGCAGTGACGTTTGGTGAAGGAGGGAGAGAGTCTGAGGAGGGAGGAGAGGAGAGGAGAGGAGGACAGCAGGGGCAGGAGGTCGGGGAACCAGGCCCCTGTGCCCGCAGGCTGCGCCAAGGAGCCCCGGCTGGTCAGAGTGACGGAGAAAGGCAGCCATGGGGCTGGCCGAGTGGCTCAGTTGGTTAAGAGCTCGCTCAAGAGTTTGAGCTCTGAGCAACAGCGGTTCGAGTCCAGCCCGAGCTGAGCAGCCG